AGAGAGAGAGAGAGAGAGAGAGAGAGAGAGAGAGAGAGAGAGAGAGAGAGAGAGAGAGAGAGATCCTGGCACATTCTTGCTGGAGCACAGATGAGAGAATTATGCCAGCGCTACTGAGGAAGATCACCAGCCCCAGGAAACAGAGGGAGAGTCTGGCAGTCACGAGAGAGAGAGAGAGAGAGAGAGAGAGAGAGAGAGAGAGAGAGAGAGAGAGAGAGAGAGAGAGAAGGCCATAGCCTGAGCAGAGAGAAGCTTACCTTGCAGTTACTGTTGGTGACATCATGAGTGCAGGTTGGAGACGGAGCACTGCTTCAGAAGGTGGCCGGCAGTATCATATCTGATGTCGATATTGATTGCCTGTTATGATCCTGGAAATCTTACAGTGCACGACTCAGAAAGAGACAATGCCGTTCAATTGCATCTGAGATGAAAGGGACTGGAAAGAGAAATAGACATAGGAAGAAGAAGAACGGAGAAAGGAAGAAGAAGAAGAAGAAGAACACAAGATGGAACCAATGTCACTCCTCCTCCAAACCGCCACCATCTCTCTCCCCCGTCATCTCCTCCAACGACTTATTGATAGTAAACAATAACAATCACAATGAATGAATGAACCAGAATCATCATCCGAACCTCCCCTTGCTGCTGGCTTCTGGCCATGGCGGCAGCATCCAGACCTAGCCCAGTTCTTCAAAGGACAACACAAAGCTCTCCTGGCCCTGCCACTTCCACCGCCAAATCTACATTACTTGCCAGAGTCCTCTCGACTTCGTATCCGACCCAGGGGTCGTCCAGGTTCATGGCCAACCAAGGAGATGGAGATGCCATTCACCATAGCCAAGGTGGCTTCCTCCTTCACTCGCCTTCTCCTCCTCCTTCGTCCTCCTTCGCTCTCCTCCTCCTCCTCCTCCTCCTTCCTCCTCCTCCCTTCTTCCTCCTCACTCTTTCGCCGTAACCATGTCTTCTTCCTCCCTCACCTTGGCTTCTTCCACCATAGCCAAGGTGGGATCCAGCTCCGCTTTCTTCTTCCACCCAGCGCCTCACCAGGCTGGTGAGCGCCCAAGTAGTCTCATGGCTTGGTCACCCGAAGAATGAACCGAAGATGGCGCTGCCGCTCTTGGCACTAAATGATATACTGTTTTCCTACCCGTGACTTCTGGCCGAATTTTCACTGTAGCTTGGCCTCCCTTCGTGCCCTGGACCTACTGGAAGCTCCTGCCTTTTGGTGGGGAGTCTGGGGACATTATTGCAGCCTGCAACTAACCCTCCAGGGCCTGAATCCACCCCACTACCTGTCTATGTACAGGCACTGAACTTTTGTAACGTTTTGGGAAGTTACTAGATTTCTAGTGGGCCTTCCTGGCCCTACCTGAGTTGCTGAAAAAGACCTACCTGGTCCGTATAAATTCTTGGACTACCCCTGCCTTGGGCGTCTTCAGCTTCTGCTAAGTTCTTCTGCTGCCAAATTTTGGGTCTGTCCCTGTGTCTATTGAACTCTATTCCCCCATTACCATTCTCTTTTTTTTTATTTTATTTGCTATGATATCTTCTTCTCTCAACTTACTGCACTTCACACAACCTATCCCTTTATTGCATCCACCTTGCATTAGCAGCCTCCTACCAGGAGCCTGCCACGGTTATGGGTCGAGCCTCAACTTATTCTCTCCGGACTATGCTGCACAAGGTTGAGCCTATCCCCTCAGGGTTGAGTCTACCCCCTCAGGGCTAAACCTAACCCCTAGCCATGGGTCGAAGCGATCGAATGCAACGCCCCTCCAACCAACTAGGGGAGGACAGGCTGTCTATCTCAGCGGGTGAACCTAAAGCGCGCCGCAGGAGGCCGTTGGGGTTCAAATGGAAGGCATGGAGAATCGAACCCACGACCTCCTGAATGCAACTTCGAAGCTTTACGGTCTGAGCTTAGCCACTTGGCCCATTCCCATTACCATTCTACCTGAGCTCAAGATTCAGAAACACAGCATGGAAAAAAAAAAAGAGGAAAAAAAAAAAAAAAAAAAGGAAAAAAAAGGTAGAAAAAGGGGGAAAAAAAAAAAAGAACAAAAAAGAAACGCAGCACAGAAAAAAATGCTAGCACAAGGACACAGGCTTGGACGCAGGCAAGCACAAGGCCCGTGCATGTTAGTGGTAGGTCACACCCACACACAGAAAACACGGCAATTCACAGGAGAACACGTAGATCTCAGCAAATCAGTCCAGCAAGCAGCAATACTCAGAAAACAGCAGAAATCTCAGACTGATTCTGCGTGGGTCATTGCAGCAGCGCTGGCCTTGTCCGACGCCACGGAGGAATTGTCGTGGAGTTTGAAGTCAGGTTCTGGGGAGGTGGTTTGTGAGTGAGAGGGTGGTCTCCAGGACTAGTAAATGGCAGGATGCTGAGATTCTGAGCTGGTGATTAGGAGGACGAAGACCTGTAGTACAAGTGGGAGAGAAGGAGATCTGAATATTCTCTTTGTGTATTGATTACATTTACTCTCTTCTTTTCACTCTTCCTCTTCACGTTGGTGTGACGTGTGGCATGATTGCTATGATGACTTGCAGAGTTGTAGTTCATCTTGAGCATTGGGGTGTCTGAGTGCTGATGATGTGAGCTTCAGTAGTTGGGTTTGTTACACTGGTGATGCGCTTTTCATCTGCACGATGGGCATTAGATGTGTGTCTTCAGGCACGTGTGCGGGGAGGGATCGAATGCGATCATCTCCCTCTTTTCTGCACTATTCCACACAGAAAGCTAGAGTACCTTCCCGTTGTCTTCCTTTCCGTGTACGTTTGTTTGTCTGTTTGTTTGTTTTGCTTGTGTGTGTGTGTGTGTGTGTGTGTGTGTGTGTGTGTGTGTGTGTGTGTGTGCGGCATGGTAGGGGTGTGAAATCTGTGGACGGAAGGGTGTGAAATCTGTGGACAATTATGGGAAAGGTTAAGTTGCTAAGATGAGCATTTTGGTTGGTTGTGTTGAATGCCTTGCAGTGTGATTTTCCTGTAGTATATGCGAGTGGAGTGCAGGGGGTTGCTGGGTTAGATCCTGGACAGCTGGCACCAGACCTGGAACCGCTTTTCGATACAATCATAAGTAGAATCTCTCCTCCAATTGTTCTCAAAGATGCCCCACTTCAAATGCTGGTGAGCTCTCCACCCCTCCTCCTCCCCCTCCTCCCTCCGTCTCGCGTCCCCTCTCCCTGGGCCCCTTCCCTTCCCCCATCCCCTCCCTCGTCCACTCTCCCACTCTCCCACTCCCCCACGCTCTCTCATCCTCTCCTTCTCGTTCTTCTTCTTCTTTGTCTTCTTCTTGTGCCTGCATATTTCCTACCGTCTTCACCCAAATAGAACGCCCGGTCATTATGGCCGTATTTGGTGCACTTTTCAGTCGAGATACAGCTATAATAACCGGGCGTTCTATTCGGGTGAAGACGCTAGTGTGATGACAGAGTGTGAACACGGGAGCAAAGCTTTGCCCTCGAGGCTACCGGAATCCGTGTGTGTGAACTGAATACGAGATTGTTTTGGAGTGATGATGATGAGAGTGTTGACATACAAGGCTGTGTGTTAAAAAAAAAAAAAAAAAAAAAGATTGTAAAGTGCGAAACTGCAAACAGATTAGAAGACGTGGAACCGTTGCGAGTCCATCATGCTCCCGGGGAGGAGAACGATGGG